CCCCCCCGTCCCCCTCTACGGGGACGGCGCGAGGCCCGGTTTCACGAGTCGCACCTTCCGGCCTGCACGCGACCTGCACACACCGACACACACGTGGCGGGTAGGTACACAAGTCTAATTAGAATAAGTTACAGGCAAGGTCTTCTTGTCGACAGTGAAGCTATTTCTCTATTCCCGCACGTAGTAGCTTCTTGGGGAGAAGAACGCAGTCGTTCCACCATCCGTCGTTCAGCTTCAGTTTTTCTGGTAATAGAACCACCTGTCAACTGTGTTGAGGAAGGGAAAGGAGATTTAATCCTCAAGCAGCCACACACTTATCAAATACAGTCATAGGCTACAAGCCTCCCTAGCAGCACTATCCCATCTGGTTCGGGGCCAACTGCTACTCCCTTCCTCGCTCCCGGAGCGGTCGAAGCTGTGCTCAGGCGCTTGCAGTGCTTCCTCTGCAGCCCACAGCACCTTTCTGGGAGACAGCACAGCCTAGCATCCAAAACGCTTCTGCTATGTACAGAAGCAAAATTAAGAGACAGCGATTGAATTTTACGCCTCAGCGCTGAGGTGAGTAGTCTACCTGTCCTACTCCTGCGGACCCAGGGGATGGACTGCTCATTAGTGAAGGCCTCATCATGCCAGTTTTAAGGCATCTTCATAGCTATGACCCACTGCTCTCCAAGACAGGGAGCCGTTCCTCAGCATCCTTCACAAGATGATTCCCTGCTGCTCGCTGTGCGGAGCAGACAAGCATTTCCATCAGCTACAGTACAGAAGCGTTAGAAGGGGTCTTTTCACCTTTCTCCAGGCGGCCGTGCATAGGCCAGCCTCGGTGTGCAGGAGGGACAGTGGTATCCCACGTGCCGCTGCAGCAAGCCGTGTTCATAAACACTACGAGTGAGCCAACACAGCAAAACTCCTGGTATGATCTGACAAGCACAGCACTGTGGGCATCCCCTTCAACTCCATATTACTTCAGGGGTTTCCACTGGCTAACTTCTTCATACTCCCAATAGGCTCTTGCAGCCCAGTTGATATCTGCACATGTATTTGTTTTCTGAGGAAGTCACCCTTACTCAGTTTACCATTACTTCCAAAAGGGGATAACTGCACATGACTCATGCAGGGTGAGGGCAGCAATCCAGAGCTAGCTCGGATTCCCTGACGCTCAGCTGTCTGACCCGGGAAGGTAAAACTCATTTTACTGCAGACTCCCGTGCCAGCACAGAAGACACAATTACGCGCCTTCAATTTCTTTTCACGTGACCCACAAAGAGACTCAAAATGACAGCTTCGTTCAGGCATCCTCCAGCCATACAGCTGCGAGTTCTCAGCTCTTCGCGAGACAGCGTCGTTAGGTCTTACTTGCCCCTGGGTCTTGTCCCTATTACAGCAACATCCTGATTTCACACATAAGGTGCCTCCACAACCTCGCGCAGAAGGAAAGGAAGGCAGCTGACCAGGACTTGTCCCACAGTTGCAGTTTTCTTACGGAGTTGTGCCTTATGTGACACATTACGTTCCAGACACATGCAAAGAGCCTTTCTACCAGCTTGTAGATGACACTTTTCAGTGACAGGATTCTGATCAGCAGGTTAAGCAGCAACTGGAGTACCAAATTCATGACTAGCTTCTACCACTCCTCTCCATGGAGAGGAGGTACTTTCCTTCTTCAGTTCACCTGCACTTTCCTTATACTGATACAAAAAAAAAAAAAAAGCCTCGTTTCTGAGGCACTGATGAAAGTGCTCTGCTGCTATTGTAACACTTCAGTCCTTTGAAGTGCTTTTCTTCCAGCTCCAAGGACCTGTCGTGAGCCACGTGCCTTTGGGAGCAAACTAGAGCATCTCAGGTCTCCTACTTACTGCTCATATACCAGCCTCATGTACTTAAATAAGGAATTAAGGCAACAATAGAAGTTATTCAGGTATTAAACAGCATTGCTGACAGAAGTTAGATCCGACAAGGGCTTTCATTTTTCCTAGTGCCAGAACCATATCATAACTACCAGTTAAGACCCTCATTTTCCTATTGATAATTCCTTGGCGGAAGCCTCCACTCTGCTTTGCAACGTAACGTGGGTTTTGGAGACTTACCTTCAGGTGGGATTGGGTTGGCAGCTTTACATGGTGGTGCCTGAAACAACAAGAGTATTAGCAGGGAGCAACTGTCAGAGCAATTGAAGTTTAACTCTACACCTGAAGCTCACTAAGCATCATTTCGAGATGCACACTGAGCGCAGTGTAAAATCTAGGCTGCATAAATTGCTCTGTGGCAGTCAGTGCTGGACAACTATGAGAAAATAAGCTCACGTACAACATGAGTCCTGTCATCACCACTCAGCCTCCTCATTCTGTACGTGTCCTACGTGCCTGAGGTGCTCTGCTCTAAACACAAGCAGCCATTCACTCCGCTCATATTGTAAAGCCATCTGTTTCAAAACACAGTTACCGCTCCACTGTCTATGCACTTGTCTGTAGCCTGCTCTTAAAAAGAAGATAAAAAACCCACCAACACACAACGTGCTGGTGGAATACAAGTGGAAACGACTTTTCTAGTTACACTTCCATACATCGAGGCGATAGTTTCTTTTTGATTCTCCTGTCCCATTCCTCTAACTGCTTTCAAGTTGCCAATAACAGTGTTTCACAAGCTTAGGGAGACTCAGATGAGTCCCGAATCTGGACGGGGCCAGTCCACTGACTTCAAGCCTTTCATCATAAAGGATCCAGGGCCCCTGGCTGCCAGTCTCTCAGAAGTCAGGCTTTCTAATCAGAAGTGGTGACCCGTACTGTGAAACTCCTGAAAGGTCAAATACTTAAACAGTCTTTGAACAGCTGAGAGCAAAGCTATAGTTCAGAAATTCAGCCCCACAGAAAGCCTGTTTTGGATTCCATCCCCCCCCGATGACTCCAAGGGCAAGGAGGCGGCTCTGGAAGAATGTCTGACTGTCTCTACATCCTTCTTCATATTCAGCCAGAAACAGGTGCCAGGTCCAGTCATCCGAAAAATTCCGAGTATTCAAAACACCATTCATAGAGGGAGGACTGCTTATGGTACCACACAAATGACTTTATTTTGTCCGACACTGAAGCTGGGGGAAGGATACTTGGACCAATTTGTACTTACTGCATCCACAGTAGCTTTTGCACACTCTTGACTACAGCAAAAAGGGCTGTCTGACACAGTCAGATTCGTGCTAGAAGAGAAAGGTTACTTGTGAGAACGTGAAAGCTAAGTTTCTCCTCCGAGAGTATTAAACAATGGAATACCAAGAAACACGCTTGAGTTGCCAAATTTAAGGGGAAGACCAGCAGAGTCAGTGAGCTCCTAACAGAAAGGAAGTCTATGGTCAGGAAAGCAAGTTTCAGCCCTGTTTGTTTAGGAGAAAGAAATATGTGCTGTAACCTCAGTGTTCACCTACCAGTTGATCTCCCCGCCGTCCGTTTTTTTAGCTATTAAAGCTTTCCAGTGTTCATGAGTGCTTTTGATGACGTTCACTGCAAAATCCTAAAGTTGAAGATGAGAACAAACATCGCGTTATTATGTAAATACTAGACCACGTGCCCCAGACTATCAGTTACATGGAATGAGAGGCCTGTATTTACAGGCTGGTTTTAGATAGTTTCTAACTCAGGAAGGTACCCAAAGAGACCTCTTTCACGCCTTCCATGAGTAGCAGCTGAAACAATGGGGATTTTATAACATGAACTGTTTTAACTTCAAGATGGGAGGACAGGCTAAGGTCACCTAGTGAGCCTGAAGCCAAGAGAAACTGAATCCAGATATTCTAGTCTCGGGCAAGGGCTACAGTACAAAAGCACCCCCCTCCTGCTCCTCCCACTCAGTCTGTCTAAAGACAAGAGTGGATCTTGACCCACCTGCAGCCTTTCCTCCGCTCTAAGCAAGTCACTCAGCCGCTGCCCACGTCAACAGGAAGAGACACGCACCTACTCTAGCTTTGCAAGTATTTAAAAATGAATCCGCTTCCAATCATATCTCACTTTTTTCTTAAAAAGTGGTATGTACTCAAGCATTAATCTGTCAGCTAGAGAAGGAAGCATACACAGTCCTTTGTTAGCACAAACACCAGGAATAAATATCCTGGTTTGATACTACGGACGAAGCCAAATAAAACACTACAGGAACGCGCACAAGGTTCTTGCCCCTAACCTTCCACCTCAGCCTTTGTTCCAGTTTCATCCCTTCTGAGGGGCAATTAGATGGTCCAGCCCACCCAACCTAACACCTTGCTCCTGTTGAAGGGGACAAACCCACTCCCATTTGACTCCTCCTTGTTTCCCCTGCCCTTTCCTTCCCACATCAGACTTTTCAGGCTCTCCCTCGCTTCTTTGTGCCCCCTTCGGAGCTTTTACAGCCTGTGAGTAGGTTCAACGCACTAACCCACAACAACAACAAAACAAAAAACCCCCACGCCTCTCGCTCTATGGTGAAACTCATCGGACCTGGCACAAGGGAGGACACAAAAGCAGGATTTCTCCCTTTCAGGAGCAGTACATTACCAGATCACTCGGATTTTATCTGACCGAACCCTGAAAAGAAGCGGAGGCCGAGGAATCACGTTGCCAAGGCAGAACCCTTCGTCAAAGGGCATCAGGGAACACGTGACAAGCGTTACAATACATGCTTGAAAGAGTCATGCAAGCAAAGGGGGCAAACAGCTCCATTCCCAAGCACACGGGGAAGAAGCATTTCAGCTCCTAGAGTTTACTTCACCTTGCAGTTGCTTCACTGGAAAAAGGCCAGCGGGCAAGTGAAGGAAAGA